AAACAAAAATCTCTGAGCAGCACAGGGCACTGATGGTCAAATCAAATGTATAATTATTCTTCCTATATATATATATATATATATATATATATATATTTAAAGAAGTATTATGTTTTTATTTATTAATCCGGCTTCAGTATTTGATAAATCTTATTAAAATGGAGACGGAAATAAATATATATATACTATTTAATAAATAAACGCAGCGTTTACTTAAATTCGGATATCCACTTAAAGTAACGTTTAAATTCATCCATATATATATATATATATATATATATATATATATATATATATATATATTTTAGGAGGCACTGGATAGTGGATATCGGCATGTATTGAGTTGAGGAATGTAGTGCACCAGGTCTCTGTATTTGGCCCTTCAAAAAGTGGGGTTGTTGTCCTCCTCCCTATATATATATATATATATATATATATATATATATATATATATACGTGTGTGGGCTGATTGGGATCAAATAGAGATCAGATATGGACGCAATCCGACAGAATAGTAGATTAAAGGGGACATTTATAAATCTCGGCGTTGAATTCTAAATTATTTTGAATTATTTGCATACAAAGTACAGACACTAAATAATTTTATCCTTAAACATAATTTAAAGCGTAATTTAAAGCGATATATTTTCATATATATATATATATATATATATATATATATATATATTGAAATGGATTAAATCCGACATATTTTGTTTTGCTTAAACGTTATTTTAGAATCGAACGTGTCGCATTTAATAAATTTCATAAATTAAAACTGTCTTTGTTCACGTTAGAGGACAAAACATTACAGTTATGGATGTTTCGAGAATCTAATCTAGTTTGAAGTTCCAGAAAATGACTGAATGATATTCGACAGGCCACAGAAACGTGGATTCCTTCATAAATAATTCAACCATTTTTAATGAGTAATTAACTTGTCATTCATATTACTCGAAACCACAAGAAAACTTTGAATATCAAATGCTGTTTTCAAAGTAAAGTACCCTGTTGGGTTTAGAGGTAAATCTTGTTAGAAATAGAGGACATGGTTCCTTTTTCTGCGGCAAACCAAAGACAAGATATTCGGATCCGGAAGGAAGGGGACATTGTGCTCAGAGGCCCTTCTTTAGGTAATCATATTAACTAGAATGATTTTTACGAAGTAAGTTTTTCTATATCTGAGTCTCTAAGGCAATATATTATGATTATTTACATTATTTGCATTATTCGGACTGTTATCCTCAGCTTCATTGCCATATTCAACATGTTTCGGCCGTTGTACGCTCCGGCCTTCTTCAGATCATTGCAATTTCGATCCGGACCCTTCATTTCCTCAAGGACACATAGCCCAGTGGATGAAAACGTTCGTTAGATCCAGTGACTAGACTCAAAGTGTTATGAGTTCAATACAAGGCTACACCAGTGGTGAACCAAGGAGAGTTGCGTTAAATGGAAATATTGGAAACATCCGGAAGAGGCATGGCACGTGGAACTAGAAAAATCGACTCCGGTGGGCGAAATAAAGGGTTCGGTTCGAAATTCCAATTACCTGAAGAAGGACCTCTCTATATTTTTGACATGAGCTATTGTAATTATTTACATAATTTTCATTGTTCGGACTCTATATTTCTGAGTTGAGGTATTGTCCCAGTGAATAAAAGCTTCGGTTCGATCTTGACCCAAAGAGTTCTGAGTTCAATACCTGGCCACAAAAACTTGAATGGAGATCACTGTCACATGACACATGGAACTGGAACAATCTACCTCGGTGGACGATATAAAGTGTTCAGTTCGAAGTTCCAATCACCTGAAGAAGGCCAGGGCGTACAACGGCCTAAACATCGTGAATATGACTATAAAGAGGAGGACATCAGTCCGAATAATATAAATAAGGACTGTGATTCTCATCTTTATTGCCATATTCACTTTAATTATTCATATATTTCTTTTTTCAGTTGAAATATTTTCAAGTTAGATTTTTTGATAGCTATGTATTTGAATATATCTTTATCGGAGGTTGCGTTCATAGAGAAAGGTTTACTTTTCTTTTTAAGGAATGCACAATTCTTTTTTTTCGGGGGGGGGTATCTTCTACCCGATCTGTTAAATGCGCGTTTTGCCTATAGAAACTATTTCTCTGATGGAAAATGGGATACAGGTTCTATTCTTGTCTGAGGAATAATCTTTCTTTGGTAGAACTTCTTAATCTAGACCGGTTGTTATTAATTACGACACCGAACCCAAAAAGCGCATTGGGATAGAGGAAGCTAAGCAAAGCATTAAGAAACAGGAAAACACCGTTAGAAACAAAGGTATCGGTCCTTCTAAAATGCTGGACATTTTCATCAAAGATGAAGAAAAGGTTTGAAGCAACAGAACAGATGCTGAGAACGCCATCAACTGAACCTGTGAGCAAGGACGAAGTTTTAGAGAAAATGGAAATAAATTGAACACTTATACTTAACATCAAATTGAGACGGCTGAAAATGTTAGGCTACATAATGAGGAAAGTGTTATGGTCCGGTTCCTTGTACCACGGTGATAGTCCAAGGTAGAACCAATAAAGAAGAACTCGAACACATATATGGAATAACACAGATATATTACAAACAGGAATATATAAAGAGAAGAAGAAAGTGTTATAACGAACAATCAGGTTTAGTTGTAATTGTCTGAACGCGACTCTGTTTCGGACTGCCTCTGACTCGACTGACTGACTCGCTCTGACTGAGTAACGGACTTCTGACGGACTTCACTCCAGACTTCAGACTGAACTCTAGATTTCAGAGGGAACTCCCTGCTTCCTCTTGAGGCGCACTATTTATTACGTATGGAATGGTTCATTATGTTATTATGGGTAAGTTCTGATAAAAGAAAGGATGCTTGGAAAATATGACACGCGTATGGCATATTGAGACCAAGATGATCAGCGGTAAACATCACATAACGTTGTGTAAATGAACGAGAGAGCATTTACGAGAGATAAAAATACTATATTTACTAAGAGCTAAAAATGACAAGAAATTAGGGAGAGCCATGATCGCCAAACGTTTGAAGAAGAAGAAGAAGAAGAAGAAGAAGAAGAAGAAGAAGAATTGGAGGCCGAAAGGGTAGAGACCTCGATGGAATGCTTGCGTTACGGTCCAGACGATTCGTATTTATACACCAGAGAAATTGTCCGTTTATAAGTCCCTGATTAGATTGAAAATGATGTCTTCAAATTCTTTCATATGAAAACACTGATTAAATGCATATTTCGGAATTTTAAATGAGTTACATAACATTTTTAAAATCATTTCACCCCATGCAAGGCAATAAAGCCATTATGACACAAGGGGTTATTGAGTGTGCTAGAACAAGGGAAAAACAGAGAGACATTATGGAGCGAGAAGAATAGAAGACTAATCAAGAGAGTGATTGAGATTGTATTTAAATTTCTGAAGATCAAAGTTGGCTGGAAATCAAGAAGCCGGAAGAGAGTTCAACAAATTACAAGTGTGACAAACGAGACTGTTATCACAGAACTTATGGTAACATCAAGCCGATTCAACTCTGAACACGTGAGACGATACGAAGTGACTGAAGCTCAGAACGCTAAGGCAAGACCAATAATATTGTTTATTCTTCTTTGGATTTTATCTCTAAATATACATCGGGATCACCGGGCCGGGTGTGGCAGCAATATTCAAAGCATGGACGAATGGTAGGCCTATAAATATGCAAGAAGGTTTCCGGAGAGAAATGTTGTCTAGCATGACACAATGAGCGGACATTCTTACCCGAAAAACTAGCAATTGATTCAGTATAGTCTTTCCATTTCATATAAGCTGAGAATGTTAAGCGAAAAGAATTTGCAGGTAAAGCCTCTTTTCTAATGTATATGGATGGCTTTGGAACTTTTCCAGAAATAAAAGAGAACGATGAATCTAAACTCAAACGGTCTGGGTCTGCAGGCAGTGTATCAGAATTCAATACCTATGTGAGTTTTATGATGCACAAAAGCAGAGAAAATTGCAGCGGAATATATTGAGCTATTCAACCACGAAATTATCAGCATGTCCAACGAGAATAAACTTGGCGTGAATATCATATAGAAGTATGAATCTGACAGTCATCAGCAGTGGGATTTCCCGTATTCTTTTTGTCTGTCTATTTATCTATCTGTGTGTCTGTCTGTCATTCTATAAAAGCACACACATACACAAACATGCATGCACACACATATATATATATATATATATATATATATATATATATATATATATATATATATATATATATATATATATATATAGACAGATAGATAGATAGAAAGAAACTAAATGTTTTGGGATGTGTTAAAAACAGAACAAGCATATGCGTAACTATAATTTTCGCGGTGAACAGACGAAGATAAATAGACGGAAAGTTTTGTATATTGTTATACGGACATTTAGATAGATAGATATCTATCTACTGATCTCTCGATCTCTTTCTATAGATAGATAGAAAAACTCCTGTTCTTTATCTCATTCAGTCTCTCTTTCTAGTTAAATAGATATATATGTAAGCCTTATAGACATTAATATACTGAAATAGACAGCAATCTACTGTTCTCTCTCTCTTCATCTCTCTCTTTCTCTCTCTCTCCCTCTCTCTCTCTCTCTATATATATATATATAAAGTGAGAGTGAGAGAGACAGATATATAGATAGCAACCTCCTGTTCTCATTCTCACTATCTTAATGTCTCTCTCTCCCTCGATAAATAGATAGATAGATAGATAATGTGAGTCTTATAGGTGTTAATATAATAAGATAGACAGCACCCTCCTTTTCTCTCTATCTCTATCTCTCTCTAGATTGATCGATCGATAGATAGAGAGATAGTCTTACATGTGTTAATATACTGATAAGTATATACACATATATATATATATATATATATATATATATATAGATAGATAGATAGATAGATAGATAGATAGATAATGTTAAGGCTTTTTGGTGTTAATATACTGAGATAGATAGATAGATAGATAGATAGATAGATAGATAGATAGATAGATAATGTGAAGGTTTTTTTGGTGTTAATATACTGAGATAGATAGATAGATAATGTGAAGGTTTTTTTGGTGTTAGTATACTGAGATAGATAGATAGATAGATAGATCGATAGATAGATAGATATGAAGGGCACAAGATAGATAGATAGATAGATAGATAGATAGATAGATAGATAGATAATAAAAAGAGTAGATAAATATAAGCCCAACAAACAGATTTAGAACTGACCAGATAGATAGAAAGCTGATAGTGAGTGAGGTGAAATATATGAAACTGGGAATATCTGCTCAAAAGAATACTGATTGTTCTGCGGATAAGCTTTGTCTTCTGTTTCAACACGAAATCAAAAATAGTAATTCTATTAAGAGATTCGCAATGTACTTCCATTTTGTCAAACTCTATTTCAGATTCGAAACTTTTGCCATCTTAGCTTCGTTGCTAAACTAATCATGCAAATTTGTAGATTCTTGATAATATACACCCCGAAGGGGGGTTAGTATTCTACGCCTTCCGATGGTGACAGACGATTTTCTCTTGCAATTATCTCGAAAACATCTCACTGTCTGCAGACTGAGATAAGATGATTGACAATGTAGCTAAATTTGGATGGATCTTTTATAAGTTGCTTTTTTAAAAAAAAAATTGAATTCCAATTTTTATCCACTGTATTGCAGTCTGAAATTTTGAAATAATTATTTCTACGTAAACAAAACTCTATTTACAAAATTATTCTGATCGTAAAGAGAAAAATAAAAAAAAAGCACAATTTAACTTTTAATTTTTTGGCTTGTCCGTTTCCCGATCTATTTAAAAAAAAGACTTTAAACAAGCCTCAAGAATTTTACAATGTTATTTCAGAAGAAATGATCTTTACCAGAGATTATACATATTTCCTGTACATGCAGGTAGTGCAATAGTTAGAAATCCGGAAAGAGAATTCGGATTCCTTTCGATTTAATTACGTTCTGTAATCATGTTAGGGTCGTAGGTTGGTTGTTTGATTTTGTTTAGCAGCATATCACCCTCTATGGGTTATTTAATGCCGACATCTAAATATTTTAAACACAATTTTATGGCTTCAACTAAATATATTTTGAACGCAATTATATGCCTTCAACTGCAGATAAAATGTATTGTTCGTCATGTAACTATAAATATGTATTGTTGCTTGATTGATTCTGTTTAGGGGCATATTAAGCTCTATGGGTTATTGATGTAATGAATATGCATACACCTGGGATCGCCCTCACAGTAATCTGATTGCCTGGTGTCAGCCATAAATACATGCTGATGTGGAGGTACAGGAACGACTTCTATTGACTACGCCTATTGGCTACGCCTATAGTCTTCGCCTATTGTCTACGCCTATTGCCTACCACTACGAAGAGGACCAGTCCATTACGGTTACCTGCTAGACTGTCCTGACCGGTTACTGTAGTCAACAACCACTTGCTACTTCGAACAAATATATCCCTTTCGGGGCCATATCAGTTATTTAATGCCGAATTCTAAATATTTTGGACAAAATCGCATGCCTTCAACTACAGATTTGTAATAAAATGTATTGTTGTTAATTCTATTATAAAATATATTGCTTTTGATTTTGTTATCAATTTGTATTTTTAAACTCTCAGGGTGTTCTTATTTTTGCTTGGGGGTTTGCTATTTGTCCATAGCTCGGATACTGACAAGTGGTACCACCCTGGGTTAGGGTGGTTCTTGGATCAATAGCAATTAAAAAGTGGTTCTAACCTTCTCAAAACATCCAGTCTCCCGATCAGACTCCTTGCTGTCAGATCAGCGTGTTACGGGTATCGATATATTGCAGCTGTAGCGGTATTAATTGCTTTTTGTTTTATAATATCCATTTTGGTTATGTAATATTTTTCTAGATATTATAAAATCCAGATGTTTCTTGTTCACATGAAAATTTGTAAGTAAACGTGAATATAGAAAATTGAATTTTCCCGCATAATGCATTTTTAAAAGACAGTTTATGTTTTGACTGCAATAAAATAATGTCGGAATCGGCATTTAGAACTCATACTGAGAGGAAACTTCATGGATACGGATAGAAAATGAATTCAGTAAATTCACAAAATGAAAAAGAGTCGTAAGACAGTGATGTGTCTTTTATGCAGGCGTGCACAACATTGACAATGGGGTGGTCTTGAGAGAATTACAATTCCTAACACAGTTTATTACGATTGGTCACCATCTTAACAACATATGTATAAAGGCGAAAGACAACAGGAACACTGTATTATTAGCCGACGCGTTTCGTCCAATTTGGAAATTTTCAAGGCATAAACGAAATGAATTTATTAAAAAAAAGTAACTATTAACAACGAAACAAAATGTCCTTAGCAACTAGAGGAATTTAGAAAACGCTATTGTATTCATATTGTCAACTAAAAATTACGTCAAATACTATCACATGTAGAAATATTGTTTTTATTGTTGTGCTGATGGTTTTAACCATTTTCTTTTGATTTGTTGATACATTTGTGTGAGTTTGTTTGGGAGAATTTTAATTCTGTTAGGAAAGGTGGCATTGGGAAAAAGCATGGGCGTAGATTAGTATTTGGATAATATTCAATGCCATGTTTAATGGATGTCAGTTATCAGTTATCTCCTGCTAATTTCCCTCTGAACTTTCTCCACTGCCTTATCCGGGTATTGAACTCACACTCTTTGGGTCCTGTCACTGGATCTAACCAACGCCTTTATCTACTGAATCCACAAAAATCTCCTGAGCCGACCAAGCATAGAAATAAATACAATATGGGAACCAGTAATAAGGAGTGCCAGAGAAAAGCAATGATAACAACAAAGTTGCAATATGAGCTCTGGTAAAAAAACATGCAATGATAACAGCAAAAATTGC